AGTTTATATCTCTACTTTAAACTAATAGTAATTAGAAAGAGTTTTGTTAACGGAATGAAACTTACCGAAGCTGCCCAGCTAAGAGCTGAAAGCAATGGTCTGAATCCATCCAATGGAACAGGATAAGTAATGTTGCCTGAATATCGACCTGACTTCATCTCGCAGTTAAAAGGTACTTTCAGTTGAGTAGCAATGGTTCGAGCCACGGTTTCGTAAGATTGAACCAAATAACAGAAGTTATTGGAACAGCTTCCAACGTCGTTTATGCAAGGAAGTTTAACACTTTGCTCAGCACCAAGAATGTTAAAATATCTTCTGAGCTCAGCACTTAATGTAACTTCCTTGTCCACAGGATCGAGTAAACTAAAGTCAACTTCAGTTTGAATCGGGCTCTTGCCATCGATGACCAAATTCTGATCTTTGAAGTTCAACTTTCTGAAGACAAATGATCTATCAGCGTTTCCACAGTCTTCCCAGTTGATGGCACAGGAGATGAATAATGGAAGTAAACAGAAGACGATTAATTGAAACATTATATGAAAACTTTCCACTGAAATTTAGTTCTAGAATTGGAGAAATTTCTACGATTTTAACTATGAGATGAATTAGACTTGAATGATGTTTAAATAGTAACTCTCATTAGTTTTAAATGTGACTTATCAGATTAAAATGCTTTATCAAATTCAACAGAATAACCACTTTTGATTTAGCTTCCAGGAAAATAAATCTCATTCTGAGAAGTATTGCTTCCAAAGCAAGTGATGCACATCAAGGTTATTTTCTGTATAATTGTATTGTTTGATGAAATCTAAATTTAAAAACAGTTTAAAATTTGCAATATTGATCTATTTTGACATTGAAACATTAGCTCCTCAACAGCTCAATCATACTTTTTTGATGTACGAAGATTTAAATAAACTTCAGTAGTTTAATCATTGATTCATCATAAATCATTAATCAACCATTGATTGCTAACCGAATTGAAATGGTTCATGGATTGAGTTCTAAGAAAATGTTGATCATGTTAATTAGATGAGTTTAGCATGAAAATTGCATTTAAAAAAATCTAATCTAAAAGTCCTGAATTAAAAATATTTGTCGAATCAATGAGTCAATTTCAAGTTTGTGTCTTTGAAGACAAAATGCGTGCTCGACATCGTTTCGGTTCTCGCCTTTTCTATCTGAGACGAGATGCTCCTTTGATTTAAACTAATGGTAATCAGATAGAGCCATATGAAGGAAATGATTAGACATTCATAAATTCAGGCC